ACCCGAACGGAGCAGCGAGGAGCGAGCGAAGGCTGTGTTTAGGGACGTCACATCCTTAATAATGTTTTTCTTTTTTCGCACTCAGTAACCTTTTGAATCTTAGTGACATTATTGACTTGCTTGTGGTGAAATGCTAAAAACAAATCTAGGGTACCATGCTGGGTCCTTATTTTCGGAGCAATGACAGTTGCCTTATTGCTTCATTCTTCTTTTATTAGATTATTTTAGTTATTGCATATGCACGTATATAAGTCGAATATATGCGTGTGTAGAAGTTGATCTTGTTAATGATTAATTAATGACAAATTAGAGAAAACGTGTACCACACATTTAACTACTTCCGGTTTTCTATCCTGACAATAGTGACGACAGTCAGCATTTGCTGCTATCGTTGTGCAACTGAAATTGATGTGTGAAAATGCTGGGTCATTTTTTCCTCGGTCTATCTCTGCTATGACACTGCATTTTATATAAACTAACCATTGAAAATAATTTCAACACAAGGAACTAAAAGAACGTTATAAATCAAATTAACCTAACATAAATTGGTAAGTTTCACTTACTGAATGCACTGATAAATTGTATATATCAGGAGTTGACAACTATGTGCCGACTTAGGGTTTTAAAATCATTTAGTGTGCCAACAGCATACGTATTTTTATACAAGTCAAGGTTAATATACCTGTTCTACAATATATTTTATATAGTAATATATAGTATAAAGTAATATATAGTATATATAGTAATATATAGTATATATACTTTAGTAATATTAAAATTGAAGCAGCTAAATATCTTCTTTGCGCTGTTGTAGTTATTGGTTTGGACTTCTTGATGTCATTTGCAGCTTCGTGCCATTGGAAATTACTTGGTGTGCCACGTAGGTTGCCGACCCCTGGTATATTTTATGTACGTTTCTATCTTTAATTTGTTGTAAATTGGGAATATTTTTCGAGTATGAAGCTATGACATGCTCACTGAACTGACGACGATGTGTTTTACTTTAAAATGACCCTAGAAGGCCTCGACTTTTACACGGCGTTTCTTTCAAACTTTCTATTTTTGCTGAATCCATTCATGTTTTGGCAATCTTCGTACCTGCAAAAAAAAAAAAAAAACCAAACAAACAAAAAAAAAACGGGATACCAAAAGGTCGGTTTTTCCCTTGACACCGTTATTATTTTAATACTCTTCTCTCCTGGACAATATTTATTGTTTTAAAAAGTGATGATTAGAATTGTAATAAAACTTAAACATATAATGAACGTGAATTTATACATTTTCTTTGTTCTTGAGAACTGACAACAAAAACAATAAAAAACATTTATTTATTAGATTGTTTATTTACAATATTTATTCATTATATTGTTTATTATAATATATGGCAAAACATTGGATAATTCCCTAATTGATTCAAACTTTATAAAAAGGTAAATAATAAGGATTTCATTTTAATTGCTTCAAATATTTTAATAATTTAGTCAACTATTATAAATGTATGAATAAAAATTTGTTTTCATATTTATTTCTTTATAAATTGGTTAATGATAGATATTACATTAATTTTAGTTGTATTAGTTCTTAGAATGTTGTAAATATAAAATTATTCGTGTAAATAAACGTTCCCGATGAGTGAAGGTAGTTAAAATGATAGCGACGTCAATGGAAAAACCGCCCCTTTCGCACTCCGTTCTTTTACGGGTACGAAGGTCCAAATTTGCCCATTTTTATCATATTTTAGACATTATTCGAAATTTTACTGATGTCATTTCTTTTTGTATGTTTTTTTTTTTTTTTTTTGTCTTTCTTTCCCGCTTCTCAGATTTCTTATTTTCTCTTTTCTATAAACTTTTTCCCTTACTCTTCTCCTTCAAGAGACATCAATTTCAAACCACTTTCTCGTTATTATTTTTCCTCTCTTTTTTCCTATTTTTTTTACTTTCTCTCTATCGTCTATCCTTATCTTTTCATCTTCTTTATCCTCTTCTTTCTCTCATCACTTTGTTCACTCTTTTTTTTCTCTCAACTGTTTTGCGTATTTTCAATTCTATGCCATTCACACTCCCCAATTCACCGGTCTCTCTTTTCCTTTCTCTTCTTTCCTTTTTCGCCCTTGTTTCCCCCCCCTCTCTCTCTCTCTCTCTCTCTCTTTATTAGAATTTTTCAATTCGTTACCTCTCTCGACTGAATTTCTTTCTTTCTTTCTTTCTTTCTTTCTTTCTTTCTTTCTTTCACTCACCTTTACTCCGTTTCACACGTTTTCTTTAATTAATGATATTATGTTTCTTTAATCTTTTCAATTACTTGATTTCTTCTTCTTCTTCTTCTTCTTCTTCTTCTTCTTCTTCTTCTTGTTTACTTTTTTCTGTTTTTTTAATCGTTTTTTTAGTAACTTTTTAACATATCCACTTTGTTTCTTCTATTTATAAAACTATTAACCATTTAGTAACTGAATCTATTTCTAAATTTGACCAGTTTTAAGTTAATTCAAATTTAATTTCAGTTAAATTTTTCTACACCGTATATATTATGGTAGGATTGTGTTCAGGCAGATTCTTTGTTTAATGATCACGTTTTTTAGTCAGTTTTATTTTGAAACAACAAAAGGAATCAAGTTGCTCCTTCAATAATTATTTCTTACCATTATTATTATTATTATTATTATTATTATTATTATTTCCATTGATTTCTGGTGTGTACTCATTTCTTTCCGGGTCCCGCCCAGAGACCTAAGGTCAGAAATAGCATCATGACATTTTCAACTGAGCAATTAAAAAAATATATATATATTTTACATAGATAAAGCCCTTCTTAAGTTGTACGCTGTACTCGTGAGAACAATGTTTTTGTATTTCTTTAAGGCATGGGCTACCAAGGATCCTTTCAACGAGTCATTTCTTTAAGGCATGGACTACCAGGAATCCCTTCAATAAGTCGCTACCAGGAATCCCTTATTATTATTATTATTGGTGTTATTGTTGTTGTTATTTAGGGAGTTAGCATTAAGCCAACATAAAGTGACACTAGTCTACAGATATACAAAACCCAATTTGCTCATCATGATATCCAGTCTCACCAGAGTACACAAGGCGCAGTCAAATATGCGCAATATGGTTACAGATTTTGATAAAAGCAGCGAATAATCTTGACAGAAATAGTTTTAGATCGGGTAACCCAGTTTAGATGTGACCCCCTAATCATCTTGACGGTCTCATCCTTCAAACTTAAAAAGAAAAACCTTCTCGAAACTCGTCCATGATGTTTTCCCCTATTCCTCCCGCTCGTAAACAGAGATACACAGTACGGCACCCTACAACATGTTCAACTGGTTACGGTTAAGCAAATGACAAAGAAATATGTGATACTTAACAGAATATTTATTGTAGATCATTTTAATTTAGCATATGCATGTTAATACCTCCGATCAATTAAGATGAGAAGCCATGAGAGCTATGTCATTGGAGGGGACCCTGGGGAGTGCTTTGTGACCCTCACTATCTTATCAACATTTTCTTTTTTCTACCTACATTTATATATGTTACAAATCAAACTAGGTACTATTAAAGGAGGAATAATTTTCGCGGATTTTGATGCCCTTCTGGGATCTTTTCCCCCCTCCATATCCGGGAATTTGTCTTGCTCATGCTAAGTCTAAAAAAAAAAAAACACTATATAAAATTCACTAATTTTTATCCATAATATTGAATGCGTTAAAATTATTCAAGTTTTTAACAAGAAAAATCTCAAATTGAGGTTAAAAATTGCCGCATAAACATTGTTGATTTATTTAAGATGGAATGATCTATTATGACATGTCTCTAATTTGTATTTAGATTCATTGTAGTTACAGTGTAACCTGGATATAAGAGATCCGGATATAAGAGAAACCCGGATATAAGAGAGATTTTCTCTGGTCCCAAATTAGAGCCTGTGTTACCTAAACAAAATAAACCAAACCCGGATATAAGAGAAACCCGGATATAATAGACTTCTTCTCCGGCCCCGACAACTCTCTTATATCCGGGTTACACTGTATTTAAATTTTTCTCGTCGAATTGTTCACCTATATAGCATATGCTCTATTATTGTACATAATTTGGTTATAATAAAATTTGTACTTTATATGAATACTACCATATGAAAATTGAGATGTTGTTGAGTGCCGGGCAACGAATCATAGATTCGGTAGGGGTGGGTTTCACCGGCCTTGGTCTCGCACCAGGCTATTCAACAACAACAGCAACAACAACAACATGAAAGAAGAATTAGTAAAATGTGATATCTCCTGACAACAAAATTACCGGCTTGTCAACTCTTTGCAAAAAAAAAAAAAAAAAAAAAAAAAAAAAAAGAAATTCTTACAATCTAAAAATATTTTCTGGCTTTAAATAAGTTAGAAAATTTTTTTAGATTGTATTTTCCTTTTTTAAAATAATAATGATTTAGTGATACAAGTCTTAATAATTAACCCATATCACATTAATAACTTTCCCAAGGGTATTTGCGCGTAAGTGAATAATAAAACTCTGCTTTCCGAGCCAGTATCTGTCTATATTTCTGAGATGAAGTATTATGTACACTATTTACATCAATCGGACTATGTTGCCATATTTATTACAATGTCGAACTGAACACTTTATTTCACTCACTAGGGTAGACTGTTCTAGTTCCACGTGCCATGTTTTAATGGATGTCAGTTATCTTCTGTTAATTCCCCTCTCCAAGTTCTCCACTGCCTTAACCGGGTATTGAACTCACACTCTTTAGATCTAACTAACGCCTTTATTCACTTTGTCATGTGTCCTTGAGGACATCTGTGTATGGATTTCTGGTTATTATAAATATATATATCATATCAGCGATCATTTTTTACCAATGCTCATATTGCAATTTTTTGCTCTTATCATACATGTTTTTGCCAGAGCTCATATTGCAATAAAACTCGGCTTTCCGATTAATAATTCCGAGCCATTATTTATTACACCATCCGCACATGAAAGCTTACATCATCTGGTACTCCCAATCGATCACTCATCTAGGTACAGATCAATCTCAACGTTGCTTAACTTCGGTGATCGTACGGGCACCGGTATTTCAACGTAATACGGTCGTAATTCAGAGAATTGTTAATTCAAAAAGTAACCGAATTATCTTTGCCCAACACTTAGCAACACAGATCACTTTTTTTGTTATTATTTAAACCATATCTACTTCTTTAATCTCGTGGGAGTACGTCTAGAGTTTCATCTATTTATTATCAGAATGGTTGTATTAAATTCTGAGGCTTCTGATTTTTTTTTTTTTTAAATGGCCGACAACATAGAAACATTAACATTTTAAATAATTTGTTGTGGGTACAACATTTCATTAAAGCTTTAAAACTCGGACATTTTAAAGTAATATATATATATATATATATATATATATATATATATATATATATATATATATATATATATATATATATATATATATATAACTATAAAGGGAGGAAGAGGAAGGATATGTATTATCAGAACCAATCAGAAGTTGGAAACAAGGATGATCAACCAGTTAAAATCCGTTGAGAGCGACGTGAAAATTTGTATGCGCTTGTGGTTACTTCCAGTTCTGCTTACACTTAAGAAATAATTCGACTTGTGCCTCGTCATTCACTAGCGATCCCCCCATAAGCAGCAAAGCACATTTGGATTACCATCTGAGAATTCTTAAGACCATTTATATTAAGTCTAAACAGCCTTCCCTCTGTAAATAGAAGAAATAGATGCTAGGTATAAAAGTAATTTTTCTGTTATTTATATTGCTGATTTCTTGATAGTTATTTTCCTCTTCTGCTGTTTTAGTTGTTGTGCAAATATTTGCTTTTGTTTTTGGTCCATCATTTTACAGTGGGTAATTTAATTCTTATTCTTACTTTTCTGCTGGTATATTTCATATTTTTGTATATATTTATATATACTTTTAAAATGTTCGTTTTTACAGCTTTAATAAAATTTTGGACTACCTCTTTACATATTATTTAAGTTTAACTGTCGTTCTATATAGCTGGTGATTTAATACGTTAGCAAATTTGAACTGTTATCTGGAATCAGTATCCAAGTGTGCATTATAAAGGCGTTGGTTAGATCCAGTGACAGGACCCAAAGAGTTGCGAGTTCAATACCTGGTTAAGACAGTGGAGAACTTGGAGAGGTGAATTAACAGGAGATAAATGATAACTGACCTCCATTAGACATGGCACGTGGAACTAGAACAGTCTACACAAGCTAGCGAAATAAAGGGTTCAGTTCGACATTCCAACTACCTGAAGAACGCCTGAGCGTATAACCGCCGAAACGTTGTGATAAATACGGCAACAAAGCTGAGGAAAATAGTCCGAACAATGTAAATAGTGTGCGCATTAACACTATGTGTTTGAATTTTATCGTTTTTGTTCTCTAGTATTTTACTTGCCAGATTGGCACTACGCAGTGTTTATAATAACTAAAATTGTTAATGGATTTTTCACAGTTGTCAGTAGAGCGCATTTAGATTACCATCTGAGAATTCTTGAAACCATTAATATTAAGTCTAAGCAGCCTTCCCTCTGAAAGCAGAAGAAATGGATGTTGGGTTTAACAGTAATCTTTCTGTAATTGATACTACAGATTTCTTGGTAGTAATTTTTTCTTCTTCCTTATTAATCCTTGTGCATATATATATATATATATATATATATTTAGCTTCGATTGGCTCTTAAGATCATGGAGAAATAATCGGTTGCGCCTTTTTGTTATTTTATTTTATTTTATTTATTTATTTATTACTGTTATATATTTTCGATCTATCACTTTACGGTAAGTATTTTTTATTATTCTTGCTCCCCACATTGTTTTATGTTTTTTATGTCAGTATATATATATATATATATATATATATATATATATATATATATATATATATATACTTTTAAAATTTGCATATTAATTATGAAAGTAAAATAAGATCTTACTTTTACAAAATTGCAAAGATTAACCTAAATTTTTACAAGTAGACATTGTGAAATTATGATGTATTTACACATGGAAGTGTGTTACAATTAACTTCATTAGGCGTTTGCTACTTTTACACTGGATGTAGGTGTGGTGGTTCTTTTTCTTTATGTTCCCCCACCCCAGGTGATCATGGCTCTTCATAATTTCCTGTCATTTGTAGTTCCTTATAAATTTTGTCTTTCTGTTATTTCTTCTAAACCCTGTTCTGCCATCCATTTCCTTAAGATCAGTATGTCATGCATTGTTTTCCTCTGTCTCTCTTGTCTTCAGTCTGTCTTGTGAGTATCAGATTTTCCAAGCTCCCTTTCCTCCTTATGTACTCTAGAAATTTCAACTGTCTCTTCCTGATGTTAAGTACAAGTTTCCATTTTGTTGTCATTTTCTCTAAAACTTCGTCGTTGCTCATATGTTCGGTCCATGGTATCATTAACATTCTTCTGCAGAACAATATTTCTGTTGTTTCAAGTCTCTTCTTAATCTTTGAGGAGATTGTCCAACACTCATCGCCACAGAGGAGCGGGCAAGTTCAAATACCTTACTTTTCACTTTCTGAAAGGCCTTTTTTTTGTAAGCCATAAATCTTAATTTGCTGAATGGTGTGATTTTAACAAAGGAAATTTACAACAATAATTAAATAAAAACCGAGAAAGACTTACGCATTTATGGTAACTTATTTTAGTTATATATGGCTTTTATATAAATGCTCAGTTTTCCTTATAGGTTCGAATGTGAGTATACTGCATTTAGGACGATTAGTCTGGCAGTTGGCGTGAGGCTACCTGTTAGTACATTGGCTTTTTGTAGACAACCAACTGCACGTTTTTCGCTGTGCAACAAACCGCGATTTATTTTATTTTATTGGATTTTAATCATCAGACTTTTTTCTATAGTCTCCTGTTCTCTTTTTATCCATTTCTCTCATTTCATCCATCATGATTAATTTTTTAATATGTTTTTTTAACCTCGTTTGTTCTCAATGCTCCTTCTATTACATTCATTGTTTCAGTATTTCTTTGTTTTAGGATTCTTTCTTTATGTCTATTTTTCTTTCTTTCATACTGTCTGTTCTTTTTCTTGGTTTTTCTGTCAGTATTTTTTTCTTTCTATCTATCTTTCTTTCTTTCTTTTTTGTCCATCTGTTTTCTTTCTTTCTTTCTTTCTTTCTGTCTGTTTTTCTCTATTTTTCTTTCTTTTTTCTTTTTGTCTGTCTTTTTACTTTTCTTTTTTCCTTCTCTGTTTTTTTTCTTTCTTTTTTTTTTTTTTCTTTTTACTTTTTTTTTCTGTCTGTCTGTTTTTCTCTATTTTTCTTTCTTTTTTCTTTTTGTCTGTCTTTTTACTTTTTTCCTTCTCTGTTTTTCTTTCTTTCTTTCTTTCTTTCTTTCTTTCTGTCTGTCTGTTTTTCTCTATTTTTCTTTCTTTTTTCTTTTTGTCTGTCTTTTTACTTTTTTTTTCTCTTTTTTTTCTTTTTTTTCTTTCTTTCTTTCTTTCTTTCTGTCTGTCTGTTTTTCTCTATTTTTCTTTCTTTTTTCTTTTTGTCTGTCTTTTTACTTTTTTCCTTCTCTGTTTTTCTTTCTTTCTTTCTTTCTTTCTGTCTGTTTTTCTCTATTTTTCTTTCTTTTTTCTTTTTGTCTGTCTTTTTACTTTTTTCCTTCTCTTTCTTTCTTTCTTTCTTTCTTCCTTTCTTTCTTTCTTTCTTTCTTTCTTTCTTTCTTTCTCACTTAGTCAAATCCATATTTCTTTCCACTTCATAAACCGACACTATATTTTTTTTCCCTTTCTGCTCCCCACCTCTCACTTGTTTCTCCTCACTTATTCTTCTTAAACTGATCTTTAACATATTTTTGCACGTAGTCATAACTTTTAACCAGAAATATTGATTTGTTGTTACCACACACAAACAGACGGTCAACAATCGCTGGAGAGAGATACAAAGCAAAACCAATCGATAAACAATTTGCTTTTACTTCACGCAGTTCTTTTACTTGTACGTTTTTTTTTTTGCAATGCAATATTTTTATTCTGAATCATATATTTCTTTTAACTATTTTATTACAAGCACATGTTATACACACGAACCAATGCACCTATATCTAACTGTATCAATGCCATATTAAGACATGGCGCTAATCAACGTATTAAGCATACTCTCTGTCTGTCTGTCTGTCTGTCTGTCTGTCTGTCTGTCTCTCTCTCTCTCTCTATATATATATATATATATATTTACGAAAGTGCTAGAACCACTTGTACCCGATAATGGGCACCCTTTACCATAAATATACCCAATGTACAGCTATATATATATATATATATATATATATATATATATATATATATATATATAAAAAGTGGTCAATTCAAGGATAGAGCGTATTAAAATATTAAAGTGGATGCTGAAGTCAAAACCAAACGGCAACAGTCTGTTTTATATATATATATATATATATATATATATATATATATATATATATGTGTGTGTGTGTGTGTGTGTGTTTTATGAAGATAAATGCTCAAAACTTGCTAAAACAAATTATGGACTAAATTGTCTGACCTTCTTGTTTCATCTTGAAATATTTTCCCTATCACCAGAGTTACTCAGTTTCTTAATATAGATAAACTACTCAGTCGTGCAGTGGCGATGAGAATAAGCAGTAATAAATGTCGATAAGGAAAACGACATTCAGCCCAAATTTTATCTAGCACACCCCTCCAAAATGGCGGTGATGACTACTCTCTATAATGATTTACTAAGCGTAGTTTAGATGTGGCACACCGCCTAAAGTGTAAATGGCCCAGTGAAGATCGAACTCACTCCTCAGTGGTCTGTCGACACAATCCTGCTAACCATTGCACCACGTTCAACTGACCGTAGCTCTCTATATATTGGGTTCAAACGCATTGTCGTTAAAATACTCCCATCATTATTTTTACATTTTCAATTTCCTCTACCATCAGTCTTTACTATGTCACTTTATTAGACCGAATAAAGGGACCCTCTATTTGTTTAATCCATTGATATCTACTGTAAAATGCGGTATTTGTTATAGGCTTCTTCCTATAATGCACTAATGCCCATCATC